CATGAATATGTCGTTTATGTTCTCTCCAAGACCCCATGAGTCACTAGTCCAGTCCACCCCTGTGCATGCTGAAGGGACAGTTCAGTCATGATGTCCCCATTCTCCTGCATCCCAACCCCCTCTTTACTGCGTTGTCCCATCAGAGAGAGACACGCTGTCGTCTCCATAGCCCCCTCTCGCTGTCATCACACTTCCTGCAACTGTTCAGCGCCAGGCTCTCCCATTCTTAAGTTTCCCTCTCAGCCACTCGACCTGCAGGGTGCCAAACCTCATGTCTGGACTCAGCCAAGTCCAAGCAGCATTTCCTACAGCCGGGCACTTTCTGTAGACCCATTCCCCTGTCTACCCTTTCACCAGCTCTCTCCACCCTCCTGAGACGGGAGGCCCTGGGGGCTCAGTCCTTGGGCTGCTTATCTCCCCTATGCTCTTGTGATAAGGGGTCTCCACCAAGCTCCTTTGACCACCACCCATAGCCTACACCTCCCACCCCGCACCTCAGCACAGACTCCCCCTGAACTTCAGGTTTAAGTGTCCCTGAATTAAGCTACAGTCTTCGCCACCTTGGCAAAAGGCACTGCCTCCTTTCAGCACAGGCAAACTTTCCCTCCATAGCTCTATTCTTCACAAGTGGATTCTTTTAGAACAAAAGCCAGATCTGTCCCTCCTCAAAGCCTCTAGGAACTTTCTAGTTCACTCAGACTAAAAGCCAGAGTCAGACAGGTGTAAGCAGAGCAGGCACCATAGGCCAGGTGTGGAGGGTCACCAGGGCAGAAAGCCCAGGGTAGCTAACAAGGAGCAAACCTGGGAAAACCTTTCCTCACATGGCATATCACTGGCCATGTGGTTCAGACCCTCCCTTGACCCCTCCTCCCCTAGCATGTCACTAGTCATGTGGTCGACTCCCTCAGAGGGGGACAAGGGGGGGCGGAGGGCAGCCTCATTAGACTCCCATATAAGCCCTTGCAGGGCACTCCCTTAAGCATTAAGCCCTAGAGATAACATCTAGGCCTCAGCTGTGCTTTAGCTCTAGGCCCAGAAAAGCAACGAGGCCAGCTGGGCAACACCATGGTTGACATCAGGACCAGCTTCGATGACTAATGATCCCCTCCCTGGTGCTGGCTAATCAGTGGAGACCACCACCCTGAAAGGACACACCTGGAAAACTCAGATCCTCACCTGAGACCTCCAGATTAAAAAACCCTCAAAACAGCCCTAGCCAGCGTGGCTCAGTTGGTTGGGCGTCATCCCAGGCACCAGAAGGTTGTAGGTTCGATTCCCAGTCAGGGCACATGCCCAAGTTGTGGGCTCAACCCCCGGTAAGGGGCGTGCAGAAGTCAGACGATGGGTGTTTCACTCTCTCATAGATGTTTCTCTCTCTCCCTCACCTCTCTAAAAAGTAATAAAAAATCTTAAAAAAGAGGCCCAGC